TCACCTGCCAACAGCAGTAGGGAAACTTCATCCTCCTCTGCTGTGAACCTGGAGCAGACTTTCAGATGCAAACTGCATGATCCTGGAAAGAGTCTCTGGCTTGGGAAATCCTTAGTTTTCCTCCTCCTTTTTCTTTTTATTTTTCCCTTGTCTGGATTAACAAGCGGCATTCATCTCCTGTGAACAACACTGAGCATTACTGTAAGGGCATGGAAATCTTTTCCTCTAGCCACCCTATCATTGTGATAGCGTCTCATTCAGACTGTGGAATCCCTGCTTGAGCCTGTATCCCATAGTCTTCTTTCCCTTGATGAAGAGTCAGCATTGCTATTGCTATCTACAGACTTCTTGGAGTACGGCAGTGTCCGGGACCTCCGGTCAGTGTCTCCGTTGTGACAGGCGCCATATGAGGTGGCATCACTGGGTGACTGGCTTTGCTGATAGGTGGCACAGGGCTGCACCTCGCCAAGCAGCCCTCTGCCTCATCTGGTGGCATCTGCCTGTTTCTGGGGACAGGTGGTGGTGGTGGTGTGCAGGCACCATCTCCATGCTGCAAACAGGAAGGGACAGAACATCCCTGTTGGCTGCTGTGTCCCTGGACAAGGGGCTCAGCCTGTCTGCTGGCATGACCCAGCCTGCTTCCACTCCTCTTCTTTTTACATTTAGAAGACAACCAAACAAGCAAAGACAAGGGAAACTAGTGCAAAACCTAAAAAAGTACCAAACTGCCAGCTTTCAGATTCATCACTGATATCTCCAGCATATCTCTGTCCAGCCTGCATGCCCATTTGTGATTCTTCTTTTATTTCTTTGTATTTCCTTTTGAATTTTTCCAGAAACTCAGTTGTGCATACCAACCACAAAGAAACCCAGACTAAAAGAAAAAATGAGCCAGATTTTCATGTCCCTGTCAGCCCTGAAGACTGGTTGTTCACAGATAAGCACCCAGCACATGCCTTTTCCAGTGCCGCATCTGGAAACACCAGCCCCTGTGGTGTGTGCTGAGTACTGCAAATGCTGATCTGAAAAGTTCCTTCATGTCCTATAATCTTCCTCTCTGGGGATGTCAACAGAAAACCCACGGTCAGAAATAACTTAATGCTTCTCCCTCCATCAGCCAGGTCTAACAGAGGACAAAGGAAATGTTCTTCTATATTCTGTTGCAGAGCGTCTAAGCTATAAAATGGGGCCAAATGGCCTCCCCCTGAGCACAAATAACAACAGGAGAAAGATCCATATGCAATCGAGTGTAGGATAAATGTGCTTAGCTGATCATTCGTTTCCCTAATATTTTTTTTATGAATAGGCTTAACTTATGGTAAGATGGGACTTTATGGTCCTGTAAGTCTTGCTTGTGTCAAAACAAATGAACTAGCCATCCTATGGGGGAACTATCAATCCAATATATGTGTGTGTATGGGTGTGGGGAGTCAGACCTATTATACCTTTAAGAGCAAATTAGATGCTGTTGCTATGATTCATAATGCTATATATCTAATGGCATGACTCGTCATCTAGAAAATAAACGTTTCGAGCCAGTTTCTCATCTCATAAATTTCCCCTCTGGCACTGAAGGACATAAACTAAATGGGCTGACTCACAGGGAAACAATACAATTTGGATACTTTTAAATGAAAGATAAAATTGCCTTAGGGCAGAGAGGGACGTCGAGGTCCCAAGGAGGGGTTGGCAAGCGTGGGATGGTGAGTCGGGGGCCATTCTGCGGTCCCCAGCAGGCAGGGCTGCTCCTGCGAAGCCCTTCACACTTGCAGAGCCTGTTGAGTTTTCCCAGCTCGGTGGCTTGGTGTGACTGCCATGGCAAAGCATCTGATGTGGAGATGGTGATATTGGAGGTGGTCTTGTTGTACGTGCCGTCTCCTGGGAGGAAGGAGAGCGTTTGCTGCTCATTTCTGAGCAGGGCAGAAGGGACGGACAGGAGATGTGGAGGTGCCCACTCCAAGGCAGGAGGGGAAAGTGGCCCTCAGCCACCACAGAGAAGGAAGGTCCTTGTGCGTTCCCACCTGCAGCTCTCCCAAGGGCTGCAGCTGCACACAGAGATGAGTCTCGATGCCTTCGTTGCATCTGTTGTCCATTGCTCTTGGTCTTCCTGTGCTGTTGGGCTCCTGGTCTGGGTGGCAGCTGCTGTTCCCTAGGTTTGTATGAGCAGTCCCAGTACCTTGTCAGAAAGGCAAGGAGAGGTTTTCACGTGGTTGCCAGCCATGGAGGAGCATGAGCCTGCAGCGTGCCTTCGGAGCTGGGCTGGATAAAGATGTCACCTTTGCAGGGGAAGGTATCTTCAACTGCTGATCTCTGACAGGGCCTGAAAGCAGCCTCTGCCACTGCAGGCAGAGCCTGGAGCAGGCTGGGTTGGTGAGGGAAGGAAGGGTGACTGTGTGCAAACTAGATATAGCAAAAGCTGTACCTGGCTTCAGGGCTGGGAGGACCACAGAGTCCTCAAAACTCACTGAGACCCTCGGTTTGTCCTGAAGTTTCTGCGTGTCTCCTCGAAGCAGGCTGGTGTCCCCATGGAGAGTGTAGAGCCTCCTAAAGTAATGGTGAGCATCTTCACACAAAGAGCTTCATCCGTTCTTTCTACATGATCTTACCTGTTTCTCCCCCTCAGTTTGCTCTTGCCATTTGCCCAGCCTTCGACACATGCTGCCCAGCACTGACGGGAAAATCCTGGAAACCACAGGCTCAAAATCCCTCTGGAAAGCGAGGGAAGGTGCAGCCCAGCCCTGACATCAGCCGGGCGCTGGAGATGGGAGGGAGGCAGCAGCTGGCACCGGGGGCTCGTCCTGCTCCGAATAACGCGGTTAGTGTGTGTAGGTGCGCTCGCCTTAATGAACGCAATTGAAGGACACATCAAGGAGCTAACCTTGTTTGTGTGAAGGCTGACACAAGGCAGATGACGGCTGGGTACCTGCAGGATCTAATTAAAATTGTGCGAGGCTGGGCAGGCAGAGCAGAGGGGATTGCTCATCCAGCCTTGCGCTTACCCACGGAAAAAAGAAAACGGAAGGAAGGAATGGACTATTGGATTGGGCTAAAGGGCGGGTGGGATTTCTTCCCTGGATTCAGGATGTGCAAGGGAGGAGCTGGGTCAGGGGCTAGGGACAGGGTGACAGCACAGCAGTGCCGTGGGTGGGACACTGAAGCTCTTTCAGGGATCACTCAACATCTGTCTTGGCCCACAGCGCCTGCCTGTGCACACATTCACCCACAGCATCCCTATTTATCTTGCTTCCTAGGGAGAGCACACACTTGCCATCCATCTACATGCATAATTTTCTGTTTCTCTCCTGCAAATTTTCTGTTTCCTGCACAGAGCCGCTGCTCTCTACAGAAGTCTATCTGCACCCATTTATCCATGTGTCAGATAAACTCCTCTCTGTCTTCCCTGCTTTCCAATTACTTCGTGATGCCCTTTCCAGCCCAGAGCTTCAATTACATTCTAAAGAACAAAGTAAAATAACATCATACTTTCTCTCTTTCACATGTTTTTTCCTTCTTTTTTTTCATTTTTTTCCCCCCACTTTGTAAATGCCTGGAAGTAAAAAATGTTTCAGATGCAAGAGCCTCAAGGCGCCTCGTTAAAGGTGCTCGGGGGTGTTTGGGGAGAGTGACAAAACCCCGGACAATGGGAACCCTGACGTCAGGCTCTATTTATACCTCTGCTTTTCAGAAACCTCCCCGGGATGGCGCTTTTCCTAGAGTTTTCTACTAAATGCCACAGCCGCTGGAGCCATCTCTCTCCTCCTCAAAGGGCACGTTTTTATCTTAAGGCGTAACCTGGCAGCGCGGGCGATATCGCCGGGGCCAGGCATCCGCAGGCGGCTTGGTGTGGAGGAGGACCCATGAAGGCGTTTCAACCCCAAAATGCACCTTTTAAAAGGTCAAAAGCATTACAAAGAGGTTTGCTTTAGCGGAGGAAGTTTTGGCGTTATGATTATTCTAGCAGGGTGTTGTGGCTTCACGGGGTTGGATGTTGGCTGTGTGTGTGTGCAAGGAGAGGCGCTGCCTTCCGAGCTG